TTTCGAGATATTATGACTCTTTTTGAGTTATTTATAGGCATAAGACAATTTCGAGTTTTATTAGTTTTATTAGAATTTCGAGTTAGTAATTGATAATAAATTTCTATTTTTAATCCAAGCTTTAAAAATTTAATACAAGATTACACCCTTAAGTGTTCTTAAATGTTCATCAAATTTTTATTTTATAATTTTTTATAGGTTATTTCTTGTCAGATGGCACTGCTGGGAGGCTTCCTACTCTACAGTTAAATGTTATTTTGTGTCACCACACATACTTATCATACCTTGTCATATATATTATAGATACAGTGGATTCCGCTTAATGTGGCCACCGGTTAATACGGGCATCCGCTTATTGTGGACAAACATGTCTGGTCCCAATACAAATGTTTTGTTTGAACTAATTTCGGTTTTAATGGGCAACCACTTAATGTGGACAAACAGGGCTGGTCCCAACATGCCCAAATTAAGCGGAATCCACTGTATATATTTAAAAAAAAAAAAAGTAACATGATACAATTTAAAAAATATTTTTAGTTTTATATTCTATAAATGTCAATAAAATTCTTTTCGTTTAGTCAAAACTCAAAATACTTGAAAATGTAATACAGGTTCCTCATAAGTAACTATAATAGCATTTGAGAAATAATAATTTCTTTTACAAGTATAGTTTAAATTTTGACAAAATATTATATCAAAATCTCGAACATTCTAAAATTTATTGTAGGTATTTAAAAAATTATAAAATGTTTAATTTTATACACAATGACAATTTCAAAAATGACTTTAACCTTAATTTAACCTACTGTTGTACAAATTCCTAATAGCAAAATTAATAAATTTAATTATAATAATATCATCAAATTTACTTATATACCTACTTAGTACCTAATATTAAAGCTGTAAGACAGTCTTCATTCAAAATAGTTTTTTGTATACCTCGACTTTTTATTATTGAATTCAAATTTAACACCATCCATTACAGTGACCCACTTGTAACCTGCTGTACAGCAGAGTAATTCCCACTTTTTGATATTGTGTTATAATTCAAAAATTAATAACCGTAGACACTTGACATTTTCACAAAGCATTTATGTTAACATTATCTATACATGGTAAAATTTTCAAACTATTTTGACTCTTTGTATGCTATTTATAGCCATGAGACATTTTTCTAATTTTTTTAATTATTTTTTAAGTTAGCAGTTCATAAAAGTTTTTCTTTTCATAATTAATGCTGGAAATGTTAATAGAAATGTATAGAATGTTAATAGAAGATTCCCAACAAGTTGTTTTTAGCTATTTAAAGTCATGAAATATTTTCAATTGTTATTAATTTTTTTTTTAATTATTAAATTTGATAATTTATACAAGTATGCTAGGATGTCACAACGTCTTTGCTCAGTTTTTTGTATATAATGATTTTTAATTCAAATATAACACATCCATTTCAAAGATATGCTCTACAATTACTGTACAGCAGAGAGGGCTGTACCCGTTGGCCTCCTTTTTTTGTGCTTACATTTTAAGAAGCAAGTTTTCACAGCATAATATGATAGTAGCGTAGAAAGATTCACCTCAGTAATGTACCATCATTGTGATTACAGACTTTACTCTCATATGCATTTAGTATAGTAAGTTATGTCCTATCCATTCCTTTTTGAGGTATTTTTAATAATAAGTACTCATTTTTAAATAAAAAATAAATCTTATTCTTAAGCCATATATGAATAAATACCATAATATCATAATCAGAAATTATTCAAATTTTAAATTGTATGCGGAATTATAGATTTTGAGTATGAATGTATTAGTTTTACAATAATTATACCATTATACCAATTACCATAGTTTTGGTGCAGAAATATACTTCATTTTCATCTTTGAGCGTGGTTTCTGGTAGCAAATCGATTATAGTTCAGTGGTTCTCAATCTTTTTATAATCCTTCAAATTTAAAAAATATTAACGTACCACTTGAAAGTATATAATAATTACCTAAGTTTGACGTTTGATAATAGGTCATTTCACAATAATATTAAACTAAAAACATCAAATTGGAACTGTTGAAAGTACATATTTGTATGTTATGCGTAACACATGTGGTTACAGGGATGGGCAAATACATTACTTCTTGTATTTCAAATTCGAAATACACATCAATTGGGTACTGAAAATACAAAGTATGTATTTGAAAAATACTGCAAAATATAAAGTACTTTTTAATATTAAGTTTGATAGGAAATGTACGCAGTGCTTGAATATGGAAAAATTTAGAAGACAGATGCAAAAGTATATAGAAAATATATATTTTGAATTTTCTATCTGAATATTTAAATATCGTATTGATTGAGATATCATTAGAAGGGCAAGGAGTACCTATTAATATTTTTTTAAAAGAAGAATTACCTCCATCTCCTCACGTACCCCCTCAAGCACTGTGCTAACAATAATAAATGTCAAACTAACTAAATATCAAAATTAAAAGTTACAAATATGTTATACAATATCAACATATAATATATAAATATAAATTTACCTTCCCCTAAATGGATTAAAAAATTTTTGGTCTGGTCAACAGGGTACTCTTGCCTCCTCCTAAATATGTGTCTGACAGTATAGTACCTATTACCTACTATAGTATATTATATTATTATATAAGAAAAGTAAAGCTCATTAATCATTATAATCTAAAACTGACCAAAATTCAATTGTGAGAATTGTTTTATTTGTTATTATTTATTTTGTATTTTCAGTATTTTTAAAATACAAAATACTTTAAAAATGTATATCAAATACAGTAGAATCCGCTTAATTGGGACACATCTGGCGGTGACCTATTTGTCCCCATTATCCGACTGTCCCGATGAACCGAAGAATTTTACATACAATACATTCATTCGGGACCGTCGTTAATGTCCCCATTAAGCGGATTCTACTGTATATTTAATTGAAATATTCTGTGTTTCTTACATCTCTGTGTGGGTAAAACATCCTTTTGAAGAGAATAATTAATCTATGGTAAAAAAATCTCGTATTACATTTTTGTATTATATAATTTTTGACAATAAATAAAATTATTTATTGATTTTTCCAATATATCTAGGTATATAATATTTTATATATTTTTTTTTTCAGAAAATAAGTAAAGATGTGGTTAAAAATAAAAGTACTTTTGTGGAAAAGCTTACAACTACGAAAAAGACATTGGTTGAGTACTATAATTGAAATAATAGTACCGTGTTTGTTATTTTTTTTTATCAATTATTTAAAGTCAGAATTAGGAGATGAAGCATCTGAACCAACAATTATAAACCAAACTATACCAAGCCCTATTTCTGAACATCTTTTATATGCAAAATTTAAGGATGATCATTCATCGGGACTTTTTATATATACTCCACAAACCATTGAAACTGAACAAATTATGAACATTGTACAAAAAAAATTGGACATTTTTCCTGATTTCATTGAAACTGCTATTAATGAAGAAGATATGATAAACAAATTTAAAATCAAATTCAATAGCAGTGCAATTGGTGGTATTAAGGGATTTGGAATTGTTTTTGAAGAAAATATAAAATCCCAAGTTTTAAAGTACAAGTTAAGAAGCACAAATGAATTATGGCTAACAGATCATTTGTTTCCTCCATATGAAATACCAGGACCTATGGATTATGGTGATCAATATCTAAATATGGGATTTTTAGCATTACAGTTAACCTTAGACAAAGCTTTTATTTTGTTGAGTACCAATAATAAAAGTAGTCTTAATATAAATGATTATAATTTAGAAATCCAGTCGTACCCTTATGCAAATTACTTAAGAGATTCATCATTTCAAACATTATTTGATTTATTCTTGCCGTTATTCACTATTTTAAGTTTTTTGTTAATGTGTTCCAATACAATTAAGAGAGTTGTCGAAGAAAAAGATTCTGGTGTAAAAGAATTAATGACAATTATGGGTCTTAAACGATGGATGATATGGGCAGGATGGATATTACACAACTTTTTTGTGTATGCCATATCAATCACAGTTATTACTTATATTACTTGTTTTGAAGTATCTACTGGTCAACCAAAGTTATTAAATTACACAAATCCATTACTCTTGTGGATTTTTTTAATGATGTATATGATAACTGGAGTATTTTTTTGTTTTGCAATTAGTAGTTTATTCAATCGACCATTAATTGGTTTAATTGTTGGTAGTAGTGTATGGTGTCTCTCTTACACTTTACCCAAAAATTTTGTGAAACCTTCTACAAGCATTCTAGTTCAAACACTATTCACATTATTCCCAACTTTGCATTATCAAGAGCTTATATAGCTATATCATCACTTGAAACTCAAGGAAAAGGTCTTCAATTCTCCACTCTATTTACTACTGGAAAAGGCGGTAACAGTTTTTCTGTTGGTTCTATTTTACTGATATTTGTTGTTGATTGTTTCTTATATGGATTTTTTGCTTGGTACATTGACTCGGTCCATGCCGGACAATATGGTGTTGCAAAACCATTAAATTTCTTGTGTAAATGGTCAAAAAATAAGACTGAAAATAATGTAATGGTTCCAATCAGTAAAAGCAGTAGTAGGCTTTTCGAAAAACCTCCGAATAATTATGAAATTGGAATTAGTGTACAAAATTTGCATAAACGTTTTGGAAATTTTTATGCAGTTGATGGAGTAAATTTGGACCTATATAAAGGGCAAATTACTGCTCTTTTAGGTCATAATGGTGCTGGAAAAACAACCACAATGTCAATTATAACAGGTAGATTTTATATTTTATAAATATTATTATAAATTATAATATATAAATATATTAATTGAATTGTTTTAATAAAGGATTATTTTCTCCAACATATGGTACCATAAATGTTAATGGAAAAACTGTATTAGTAACATTGATGATTTTAGACAAAATCTCGGTTTATGTCCTCAACATAATTTACTTTTCTCTTATTTGACTACTCTGGATCATTTAATATTTTTTGGAATGGTATGTATTAAGTTTACTTTGTAATATTTTAAGGAAATAATAATATTTTTATAATTTAATTTAGCTGAAAGGTTTGCCAATGAGAAATGCAAAATCAGAAGGTTTACATTTACTTAAACTTTTAAATATATTGCAAAACGAAGATGAACTAGTAAGTAATCTTTCTGGAGGAATGAAACGTAAGTTGTCTCTTGCAATTGCGTTAGTTGGTAATCCTCAGGTAAGCTTTTAATTTCAATAGTATTACTATATTATATTTTTAATTTACAAATACCTTAAAAAAACATTAATTCTTTGTTTTTCAGATTCTAATATTCGATGAACCAACTTCTGGAATGGATCCTGAATCCCGAAGAGAAATGTGGGATTTACTCTTGGTATGTATAATTTAATCAGCTTTTAATTTCAGCAGTAATTAATGTAACTACCTACATAACAATTATATTAACTAAATATCACACAGTTTATATGAGTAAATGTTACAAACTCTTAACAAATTCTAAAGTAGGACATTAAACAATTTTTTTTTAACTTTTAATGCTGCCTTAGAATATATAATTTGTTTTTAAAAAATAACCAAATAAATATAAAACTATTTTTTTATTTGACAAAGTAAAAAATTGCATAAATATATAAACAACTGTTCTTGATTGGAAATTTGAAATTTACCAATAGTTAAAATGTTTATACAAAATTAAACCTTAATTAAAATAAATATATTTAATTTTCAAACAGGTACTATTATTAAATAATAAAAAGGAATAAAAAAGATTTAGACTGTTTAGGTACTGCAACTTTTTCATGTTTAACATGATCTTTATCATCTGATTATATGTTTTTTTGCCTGTGTTATTGTTTGTATTGTTTAATATAAAAATTAAAAATCCCTGGATAATGTAAAAATAAATGTTGACAAACATTATCATTCAAGATAATTTTAATTAACCTTTTCGCTGCTACATTATTATGCAACCTATCTATGCTACATAAAATAAAATATTTTTAATTACATTTTTTTTATACCTATATAATATATATTTTTCAAATTTTAATTTTGAGATCTAAATGTTCTAATTATTTTAGTTTAAAATAATGTTAGACAATTTTTCCTAAAATTGTACGGTTACCTCAAATAATATTATAAAATAAAGGAATGTAATGGAGTAGGTAGTGAATGTTTTAAATGTTTTGGACGTAACAGTGAATGGGTTAAAATTTTCTTTAAATTTAACATTACTAGAGTATAGGGTTGCTATTCATCCCAATTTCACCAGGATAAGTTATCACTTATCTGCACTCAATATTAGTATTTCTTAACTAGATTCTAAAAATTAGTCCCATCTATTAATTTGTGTATAAACTTTCTATTTCTAAAAGAAATTTAAAAGAAAAAATATTTTTTTTTCTGAATAGTTTGTCATGATATTAAGTTTATTTTATACACTATAAAGCTGCAGGCTTGTAGCATACTAGAATGTATAATTCTATATTTATTTTCATTCTATGACAATCAAGAAAAGACTTGTGTCAAATTTTTTCAAAGCTTTCAAAGTTAAAAAAATGCTTATAATAACTTTTAAAAAAGTACTTATTATTTAGTGCAAGGTTTTTAAGTACATATTTTATGATTTGTTTAGAGCTTTAAGTCCTCATCCCCAAACATAACGATTTATTTTAAATGTGTCTCTTTATTTTTATTGTTCATCATTTTAATTTTGTATCTATGCATATTTTCAAGGTTTCTGAACTTTCTAAATTCAAACTATTGTTATGCCATAAAAACTTTTATTTAAAATATATTTTAATACTCTTATACATTTTTAACATCAATGTATTTCTATTTTTATTAGTCTTTTAGAGGAACAAGAACTATTTTGATAACAACACATTTTATGGAAGAAGCTGATGTCCTTGGTGACAGGATTGCTATCATGGACCATGGAAAAGTTATATGCTATGGCTCTTCATTATTTTTAAAAAAAGCTTATGGTAAGAAAATAAATGAATCAATTTGAACATAACAAAATAATCATAAATTTCTTAAAAATTAACAGGAACTGGTTATAATTTGACTATTGTAAAAGAAGAACCATGTAATGAGTCTAGAATTATAGAAGCAATTAAAGAAATTATACCAGGAGCAGAAGTTCAAAGCTCATTGACTGCTCAAGTTGTTATTAATCTACCAAATGAAAACACTGATCAATTTCCAGATATATTTAGAATACTAGAACTTAATAGAGAAAAATTCTCTATAAAAGGAATGGGTATATCTTGTACAACGATGGAAGAAGTTTTTCTGAAGTAATCTTTTTTTTATAAGACAAATTGTGCATTTTCCTTTTGTAAAAGGTTAATATAATAATATTAATATTACCCTAGATTGAATGAAAACTACAGTTAATCAATCATATGTATTCATTTAGTTATAGGTTTGGAATTTTATGATACCTTTTCCACTGTATCATTGTTCTCTGGACATTCATCCTACATTAGTACATTATAACAGTTTACTTGATGTTTAGTGAATATTTAAATTATTTTATTTTCAGTTTATCATTTGGTATTTTGGTTTATATCTATTTCTAATTTTCCAGAACATTGATGTTCAATATTAATATTTTCATTTTTATTAGAATTTATACATACAAGTTTTTAATATTATTGAAACATTGAATAAAAATTAATTCCAATCTTATTAATAATATAAAGTATAAAAGTATACGTGAGTCTAAATCAAAAATATGGTCTTGAACCAAACTTTTTAACTATATGATGAACCGAAAAATTCATTGTGATGTCGAACTCAAACCTAACATTTCATCCGCCGCCCGGTCCAATCTTATTCTGGATAGAGTATAGGTTTAACTTTTAAACTCAACCAAATACCTTAGGTTAACTCAAATAAAGTACCAAATATGGCATAATGTAAATTTTTTTCAAATAAATTTATAATAAAAAAAAGCAAATCTTTGGCACAGGAATTTCCAGCGGGACAGCTAGTTATACATAAAATAAATATTATATAAGAAAGACACTTAAAGAAATATAATTTAATATAGTTTGTGACATTAATAAGAATTAATTAAGAAGTTATACTTTTTAACTTGCTTTTTTTTTTAAAAAAAAATGTTAATTTATTTTAGAGCTGAAAAAAAAATATCAGATGATGATAATGATGATGTTGCATCTATAAACACACCAGTAGATACTGGTAGTTATCAGTTAATCATAACGAAGGAAGATGATTGTAATATTGATCAAGTGACCAATTTAATTCAACAGTATGTACCTGAATGCATTTTGATGGGAGATATGGAAATGCAAATTATATTTAACCTACCAGCTAGAAAAAAAAATCAATTTGGTGCCCTATATTCTGCCCTCGAATTTCAAAAACAAAATTTCTACTTAAAAAGTGTTAAAATAACTAATCCAACTACAGGCGACATCTATCCAAAGTAATTTTTTTTATTTATTTTATCACTTAAAACTTTATATTAATTTATATTCCTATCAAATATATAAACTTTAATGTAGGATAGACATTAAAAAGAACTCAACATTGAATGATGGTTTTAGTTACAACAATAACCAACGGTGAGAAGTTCATACATGCTTGTAATTTCCTAACCTGTCATCTGTAATTATTGCATTATTGTGTTAACTGTGACTGTTGGTTGTTCTTGTTCATGAATCACATATAATTTAATATTTATTGTATTAAACGGCTCAATTTTGTTTAGTACATTTTAGCAATTTTCACAATAATTTGTGGTATTTAAATTTTTGTTAATCTGTAATAAAAATTTAAATCATTGTCATTGTACATATCATTTACACATGTTTATAAATATTTCTATACATAAATTTATTGTAGATATTGTATATAATATATATATATATATATCACATGAGATGTTTAAAATTATTAAGAAAGATAACCTAACCTAACCTATCTAGTTTATACATAGATTTTTTTTAAATTTTAGTTCAATCACAGCTGGAGATTATGGAGATGAAACAAAACAACCATCTAATAATGATGTCACACAAAGTAAATATTTTAATTTATATTTTTTATAAAATTCTATAACAATAACAATAACATATTGTTTTTAAGCAAATAAAGCTTATCCTTTAATTTCACTCTTTAAACTTCTTCAAATTAAAAAAATAAATAAATAAAATAGTTAAATTCTATAGTCTACTCTAATATTTTATTTATACATAATGATTCACTGAGTATGCTCACCCTCATTTTAACCTTTAACAATTAATTTATTCAAATTCCGATTTTTGGAATTTAAAGTATATTCGAAAACCACTTTTATCAAATTGTTGAGATTTTTACTTTTTAAGGAGTGCCTAGTCGTGTTACAAACTTCCATTTTTCAAATGAGAACTTCCCTTATTTATTGTAAATTATTTAGTGGACCCTTTTTTTGATTATGTTGATATACCTAATTCCAAATTTTAACGAGTAGTTTCTCAGTTATTAAAATGTTTATAATATGGATAATTGTTCTTAAAATGGTTTCCTCTCCACATGATATCTCCTTAAGTAATACAAAAAATCTCTAGAATTAAAACATATGGTATTTATGTACCTATATTTAATAATTCAACAACACAGATTTTGAAGAATTACATTATTAAAGAAAAAAGGGGCAAGCATGCTAGTGAGTCACCCTGTATATACAATAATTATATTGTATTGATAGTTGTAGATAAAACATTGTGTCAACTATCTATTACAATAGTTAAATTCATGGACTAATCCCTATATGATAGTTCCTCATTCTTGATTTGTAGTTGGACATATCCACGTTAGGTGCTTACACAAACATGATATGTTGTAATCATAATTTTAGTAATAATCATATTGTTAAATTATTTAATTATTTAGTATAGGTATTTCAAACACTTAAAAACTTAAAATAACTTGTCAATCAATCACAAGGAATATATTTCTGTACAAGACACTTCCTGTTAGTATTATACTTTATAATGTAATTTTTAAACCGTATTTCCTTCATATACTAATAAGTCTTGATAGTTGATTTAGAACATTTTATATTCTTCAAAGCTATAAGGTAATATTAAAAAAAATAATGAATTACATTAATTGTAGTTCATTTTAAAAATACAATTCCAAGCAGACAAACCAACAAAAATATACAAGAATGATTATTATAAAGCTGTTGTGTTATTTTAAATTTTAACTTTTATATTTGCATTATATTTAATTTCTTCAAATTCTAAAATTTGTCTGTGTGCCATACCTTATAAAACAATACAATTAAGCCTGAAATGTACTATCTTCATTTAATTAATTCAAAATGTATGAACATTATAAATAATACTACAATTCTATATATATCATTATCATTTATATTTTATAATATTTTTATATCTTGTTAGTTAGATATTTCTTAATACTAATCATTGACTATCATATTTTTTTAGCATTGATGCCAAAGTATACAAGTGGAATAATTTTAATGAAAAATCAGTTTAAAGTATTGTTGGAAAAAAAAATCATTTTTACATATAGAAGATGGCTTTTGGCGTTATTTTTTGTAAGTTATATTTATGTTCTTTATGTGCTCTAAAAAAACTTAACAGGTATCACCAGTGGCGGCTTGTGCTATGGTTCACATGAGTACTTGAATACCCTAAAACATGAATAGATTTCTATAGTAAATTATAATTGGTTATTATGCATATAGCATACAAGATAACAATTATTTATTAAAAAAGAAAAAAGTTTTTGCTTCTTTTAATCTTGACAAGTGTGTCTATTACCGATTTAATAACTCAGGTTCATAAATTCATTGTGCTCTGTACATTTGTACAAATATTAGCTACATGCTTCAACACTTAGCTAGTACAATATGGTACTCAACTTTTGGAGCACATTAAATGTGTGAACCGGACCTATTTATATTGTTCTGCATTGTCGTGTTGATTTCTAAAATTATAACGCACCATCATCCATTGGTTTTTACTGCAGCCACTGTGTTCTCATATCCCTCAAGTTAACTTTTATAAATAGTATATTAAAACAGAATAAAATATGTTATTTTGTGATCATGTTAAGTTAATTTTTTTTATTTATCCATGGTGAAGAGCTTAAAAAATTAAATGTCAATATAACATTGATTTTATAATACTATAAGTTTATTAATTTGGGTATGTACCTTAGTTAAATATTTTTTATTTTTTTTACCAGCCTACATCATTTATGCTCCATCTTATGTGAACCTCACAAGCCACCATTGATTAAGTCCTTACAAATAATATTTTTAAATTACAACAAATTAACTAAAATTATTAAGTACTTATTATTTACATAAGTTACGGACTACAGTACATACTATTTTCATTTAAATATTAAGTTTCATAAAAATGTTATACTAAATAATCCATTTTGTCTTCAGTTTTTAAGCCCTAGCTAATCAACATTTTAATACATTTTTAAATAGAAAATAATGTTCAAATTTTGGCAATTTTGTCAACATTTAAACTTTAATTGCTTATAATAAAATCTTTGCTGTATTTTTGGTATTTCTTAAATTTCTACATGAACAGCTTATACAGGCTCTTGTATTAAATGTCTAAACTTTTGATCTGGCATAAAAATTCTGAACGTTCATAAAGAGCTCAACAAATACTTAATATATAAATATTTAGTAAGAATTTCAAGTAACTATGATTATTTGTTTTTGAATTACAACAAAATAACAAAATTGATTTTTCTAATTTTAGTGTTGCCTATATATTATTCCTGTTTTCCCTGATTATTAAGAAAAGTAAGTATGGACAAATTTTAAACTTTGAACCTCCTAAAGCACTAACTAGATCTAATTTCCTATCTGAATCTCTGCTGAAGTTGAAGATTGATTCATTGACAAAAACAAAACAAAAAACTATTAAACCATACAAAAAATTATTCATCGCTCGGTCTAATCTAAAATACATGATAAATTATGATTAATTTAAGTACAGTTATATTTCATAATTTAACTTAATAAACACAAAACAATTTCTATAAAGATCCTTACGAAGGTGTTTGGTGTTAAATTAATAAGTACTATAACTTGACGGGTGAACAGAGTGATAACAAACAAGTAGCATTAAACACGTTGAATGCGTACTGACGCCATTTGGCATTCAATATACATTTAAAGTAAATGGTTTATTATTCGGTATTCCCTACTTGTGGCTGAATTTTATTTTATTATTATTTAGTGTAGATAACATGAAACACATGTTTTTAAATATGTATACATTAATAGCAGTTTCTTTATTTTATTTTTGAAGACTTGTTTTTACTTTTATCATACAAACTGGGTAAAACTACAAAAATACGTACACAGTCAACGTGTTAATACACCAAATGTATAATAAGCAATTGTATTCTTATTCTTTCCAGGCAATTGGACCAATTCTGTTTGGCTTGTTAGTTATGAAATCAACCAATTATTTAGTCAATCAAACAGTGGTTTCCCATGAATTAAATTTATCATTGAGCACCTACAAGGATAGCAGTGTATATTACCGTGCTGGAGATAATTCTCCTAAAAATTTGGAACCGACATTTGTAGCTATTTCTAAAACAAATAAAGCTACTGTCAAAGAAACATCGTCAGAAAATAATATAATTAATGGTAAGTTTAATAATAATAAGACTTAAAAAGTTTTGTTATCGGATTTATTTCATAAACAGTTTTAATTCTTCAGCACATTATTTATACATATAAAATAAAATATTTACAACTTTTTTTTTTAATGTGAATTTAGTTTATTATAAACTTGTTATAACTTAATTTAGTTGCAGCTATATCATAATTACAATTAAAGTTATATTTAAACCATAATCATTATTCTTTCAAATAATTTCATAACAAATGCCAGTTGACAGTTCTCAATAACTTTTTCTTTTATCATTTTCTGACTTTTTTTTAATATTAAAGTACTATAAATATTGAAATTATTAACTTAAATATTATGAATTAGACTAGTCACATTTTAAATTATATGTCAATTTAATATTATGCTGAATAAATCAAGTAAGTGTTATACATTTTACATGGTACATTTTTAAGTTATAATCATATTTATTTATTTTTGTATTAGCTAACTAGTAAATATATTATACATTAATAAATGTTATACCACAGCTTTAATGAAAACCAATAATGGGGCCTAAGGTTTTTGGTTGGGGTGACACTCGAAAAAAAATGGCACTAATATGCATAGACTCCCTCCCTTTTTATTTTATCTATATGGTAAGAAATAAATGTTCAAAAACTAAAAACAAACTGAAATATTGTATTAAAAAAATTAAAAATGTTACAACTTTATTAATATTATAATTTAATATAATAACAATGTACACATTATTTTTCGTATGAATAGTTAATAATTCTTTCGTTCAAAATGGCATCAATTAAATCATCAGACATTTTCCATGAGGATAAATTATAATATAAAACTATAAATATTAAGAAACAACACACCTATCTTGATAGCCTGACAATGCGACGGCGACGTAGATAATAAATATTGAGGACTGAGGTAATTACGAACAGCGAGACTCGTCTCATAGCTTACATAGTAAACCCCATACACATTAGCATTCCCCCTGTACCCTCGCTTCTATAATTGAGAGACGTTTCATTGCAACGTCTATTAGATATAATACCATATTTGGAATGACCCGTATGGCCATATATCGCCTTCTTATCCGCACGGCCGTATCGCGCACATCTAATCTATTTTAAGAATTATCTAACTGTACAACAAAAAACCGGCTTTTAACAAATATTGAAACGTACATCATATTTATAATATAAAATAAAATTCACATTTGTAAATATTTTATAAAACAAAATAATTATTTATTTGTCCCGTGTTCTAATTTCTAAGTGGGGAGACTTTGTCTCTTTGTCTCCTATGACACTTTACCATTGATGAAAACACCATTCATTTAGAATTTATTGTTAGTTAGAATCAAAAATATTGCACTATAGTAAATAAAAACTTGAAAGCCATAACATATTTTAGTTACCAAATTTAAATTAATTGTTCATAATTTTATTGTTAAATTAAAAATGTGTTTAATAATAAAATATTTTTTTTATAGATCTATTACAAATGTGCAAAGATAATGTATTCAATTACAGAACAAATCTTATGATTGCTGGTGACTTTAACCAAACAAAATCAACTGTTATATACAATAATATAGCTATTCATACTCCAGCAATTGCAGTAAACCTGTATTCTAATGCTCTACTACAAAAGTTGTCAGGAAATAATGAATCACATATTTCAACTGTTAATGAACCACTTCATTTAGATAGTGTGGTAAGGTATTTATATCAATTAAATATACAGTTGAGATACATTTTTTTTTTTTTTAGAATGTTTGTGATGAAAGACTTGGGATGGCACTTGTATTTCTCTGGATAATTACTTTCACGCCTGGATTACTGTATTTAATAGGATATTTTATAGCGTTACCATTACATGAAAGAGTTAGTGGCATTAAACACTTACAAATGATGACTAAACTTTCACCAATCATGTATTGGGTTACATGTTTCATTTGGGACTATTTTTGTTATATAATTGTGGTTTTATTAACATTGGCCGGTATGTATTTATTGGATAAAAACGACATATTTACTGGTTCTAATGAAGTTGGTAAGTTAGTTTATTATTATGTTAAAATGTAAGGGCGTTGAATGCGGGGATTTTCTGTCTTTGTCTAACACACACTGAACATAGGAATAACGACCTAAGCGACTGACAAAAATTAAGATACTTCTAGTTGTTCAATTTAAAAAATTAAAAGATGTTTGAATTGGTATACAAGCTTATTTTGCATCGGTCGAAGTACTTTTTCAACTGTAGCAATATTTATGAGAATAAATATTTTAAATTTTATAAATTTGTCAATTTTTAATATTAAATATATTAAAAATATGCTTTGGTCGATGCAAAGTAAACTTGTATACTAATTCCAACATCTTTACATTTTTTAAATCAAACAACTAGAAATACCTTAATTTCTGTCAGTCGCTTAGGTCGTTATTCCTATGTTCCACGTGTGTTAGACAAAGACAGAAAATTTCCGCATCCAACGACCTTAATAATATTATAATATTAAGTTAAAATTAAGATAATTTAATGTATAATTTAAATATGATTTTTACAGGTGCTCTATTAACATTACTACTTATTTATGGATGGAGTGCCATATTCTATGCATATGTTTATAGCTATTTAAAAAATACCCTTGTCAGTTCCATGTTAGTGTTCATTGCAGTTAATTTTATATTAGGTATTTTATATACATTTTTTTAGATTCAGCAGTTATATCCATTACGGTTATTGATAATTCTGTGATTATTTTTCACAGGAATGTTTATAAATACTGGCTTGTATATTTTGAAAGACGTAATAAGAGCCGATAATAAAACTAGTTCCTTTAACACGTTGAATTTAATAAGGTTAATAGTTTTAATTATTCCACATTTTTCATATTCATCATGTATATCAGGATTTCTGCAAATAACGTGGGAAAACAACATGTGCAGAGTATGTAAATCACCTTTAATGAATGAAATATGTAAAAGTAAGTATTTATATTTTTTTTTATTTTAAGTCAACTTTCATCATTTTTAATGCTATACTTTAACATTTTAGATCCTAATGTCTCTGAACGAAAAAGTTATTTTGTTTTCAAATCCGATGAAAATCCAAATGCCATACTAGAAGAAACTTTACTTTTATTATTTAGTAGTATACTGTATATATCTATTATATTATTTTTTGATTATAAAATATTTCATCGGTTACATCAGTTTGTTTTTAACAAAATAATTGGCACTGGTGTTAGTTATAAAGATATGAATGAAGATCCAGATGTTGGCGGTGAAAGAGACAAAGTTGATGCAGCTAAAACTTGTTCAAGTAATTAAAAATGTTTATAAACAAATCACTAATACATTTAATTGTACATGTTTACATTTTAGGTAATGCATCATCGCCATTATTGCTGGTTGATGACTTGGTTAAAAAGTTTAGTTTTAAATTCACTGGGGTCAGGGGTATAAGTTTTGCCGTTTCCCCTGGTGAATGTTTTGGCTTACTTGGTGTAAATGGTGCAGGTAAAACTACTACATTCCGAATTTTAACTGGTGATACATTTCCTTCAAAAGGCGACGCTTCTATTCTGACGGATAAGTTGTACAAACTCAGCACTAATATAAATCAGGTTAATAAAAAAAATAGAATACAATAATTTTAGGATTACAAAATATTTATATGAATTCATTTATAATGATGTATAGTATGTTTCTTTGATTGGTTATTGCCCTCAATTTGATGCAATAAATGATCAACTCACTGGAAGAGAAACTTTAAGACTAATGGCAATTTTGAGAGGAATATCGCCAACAAACACCAAAAAACATGTTGATAAATGGATTAAACTTTTAGGTATGTAAAATAAAGTAGTGTAGGAACTTTTAGAAAATATAGTTGTTAATAGTTACCTATAAATTGTAATGTTTATTTATTAAAATTAAAAAAACTGTATTTATATAATAATAACACTCGATAGACTTATCAAATCTAATATCAATAATAAATAAGGTACTATTTAAAAATGAAATACATAACTTTACCTTGGAAGGAGGTCAGGACTTGTAGCACACATATTTTTAACTACTTTTAAGCGTAATGGTTTCTATAAACTTTCGATCTGTTGAGTGTGCGCTTGTGTAAGTGGATCAACCATATTGAGCGATCTCATTATGTGTTCGCCACCCATCATAGTGTATAATATGATTTTTTCTAAATCCTCTTAACAAACATTTATCGACTTTTATGATAATCAAGTCCTCCAAATTTATTAAGTTTTTCAAACATTTTTACTGGTATATCCCGATACAAATTCATCCAGTCACAAACGTTGTTTTATTGGATAAGCCTTGAGTTCAGTAGAACACCAGTTTAAAATTGTTGACTGAGGCTTAGTCCACTATTTAGATGACCATTTTTGTCAATATAAGTCCAAAAAGCATTATCCTTACTATAATATTATACACGATATTATGATAAATATAATATAAGCTATACCTATAAGCTAAATTAATATATTAAGATTATAATTTTCTCATCTTAATCTTTGTGTTGGTTGACATCCCTTTCTCTTACAACGTAAAATTCTCCTTTCCTTATCTTTCTCCTTACGTAGGTACTTATACATTGGGCATTTTCATTATTTGCCAAAACATTTTTGCCAATTAAAAAATTTGTGGTTGATTCGTCACTATTTAAAATTAAATAAAAATCTTTTGCCAACACATTGAGTGTATAAATTGTGGCATCGCGCAATAAGTAACATACTGAGCTATTGAGCCCATACTTTTACAAAATGTCGAAGTATTGTTATCTGTGCCATAAAGATAAAGTATTCACCAAAGAAAAAGATTAAACTATATCTATTAAAGATAAACTTAGGCCTGTATAAAAACCGGCCGGTTGCAGGTAGACCTTATCCTACAGCGGCCGGTAGACCGCATACTATATTACAGCCTTTTATTGAATGATTTATTACTTTTTTATACAATATAATTGTGTTAGTTTTAAGTGAACCTTTTAAAGATAAAATGAATAGTTAAGAGGTCTGTACATTCTAGTGTGTTACCCTTGTTCACACTTGATGTGTGAGATTACATTTTTAGAAACAGTGTAACTTATATTTTATTATTTGTGCTTGTATTATGAAATATTAATAATAAATCAAAATTTTTTTTCTAAAAGATCATACCAAATAATAAACTATTTATCTTTAAGACTTCAAAATTTGTATCCTATGATAGTATTAATTATTATTATTATTATTAATGATTTTGTCTGCATTTTCACTATTATTATGATTGTTATAGGTCTTGAAGAATATAAAGATCGAGTCTGCGGAAAATATAGTGGTGGTAATAAGAGAAAATTAAACACTGCAATGGCATTAATTGGGGATCCTCCAGTTGTGTTTTTGGATGAACCCACTAGTGGAGTAGACCCTGTGGCAAGACGTAATTTATGGCAATTATTAGCCGCTAGTCAGAGAGGTGGACAAGCCGTTGTACTTACATCACATAGGTAAAAACAGTGTGTAATGTGTATACAATATTTATATTGATTTATAACTATTTGATTTGCTTGAATACCTAGTATGGATGAATGTGAAGCACTTTGCAACCGTTTGACAATAATGGTGGACGGTGTTATGAAATGTATTGGTAATATACAATATTTGAAAAATCGTTATGGACAAGGGTTTACCATAATGGTAAAACTACGTTATATTGAAAATTCCGATGTTACTGAACTAAAATCTGATATAGAACGTCAGTTTTCTCCAGACATTAATTTAAAAGACGAACATAAGGTGAGATTAAGCTATTATCTTTTCATTTAATTAAAGTAACTACATTCTAGTCTAGCAGTTCATGAACTGTACACTGCAGTGTCTTAGAGCAATGGTTCTGAAGCTGGTATGAGTGTGATTGTATCAGTTGCGGATTTTCAAATTTTTTCTGGGGGGGAGGGGATCCTAAAAATAATATATATTTCAAAGGTACTTACCTATTATTTTTATTTTTGTAAATGTACAATTGTTGAAAAATTAAAAATAAACATTTAACAATATATTATTTCAGTATATTTGATTTAGGTAATACTATAAACGTGATTTTTTGCTTAAAACACGCTTTACTCTCTCGTAGCATGTCACCGAGGAGGATTAGGGATTCCTTTTGGAATAATGTCCGGCTACGTGCCTACAGTATCACGTCTTGTAGAATGGTTTGGTTTCATTTAAATTACAACTTATTTTCTTATGTTTCTACAGGACGCATTGAACTTAAGTTCTTAATTACGTTATTTAAACAAAACTAATAAAATAAACAAATCTTGTAAAAATTTTAACAAGCTTTAAATTGGTTATCAATGAGAACTCTGTTTTTATTTATATCCCTCGTAGTGTTAACACCACTGGCTTAAAAGTTTGGAACCTTAGTTCTAGTTTATCATGACACCTTTCTAAACAATATCGAAATGAAACATAATTATAGATAGTAGATTTTTGAATAGTGAATAAAAGTAATATTATTATATAGAGAAGTTGTATTTGTATCTCACGTGGTGGATAAATTAAACCACAATTAATGAAGAAAAATATTTTATTTTTGTACGGGTAAAATGTATTGATTTAAATTGTTTTTTATGTTGCAGGGTTTATTGCATTATCACATTACAAATCCAAATATACCATTGTCCGAGATATTTGGTCAGATGAAAGTAATTAAAGAAAATTATCCTATAGTTGAAGACTATACTGTTAGTGATACAACTCTTGAACAAGTCTTCATTGCATTTGCAAAAAAACAGGCAGTTTTAAATACAACAGCTTAAAATCTTGGAATTATTTATTACTTTTACATATTTTTTACTTTTAAATTTATTTTGTGTGACTATCTTATTAATTTAATTTTTTTTAGTATTTACACACAGTTCCTCAACTTTCAAAAAAAAAAACTGATTTAAACTTGAATTTAAATCTTAAAATTGTTATTTTAACTATTATTATTAAAGTATTTAAATTAGCTTATCAATACTTGTTTATTGTAACCAAATTAATTGAACATTCCTAGAGGCTAGTGATAAAATACATTATATAATCAATAATCATGTTATCAAATGTGAGTAATAGTGATTGAAAAATTATTTTAACTACCTACTAAAGTTTTTTATTTAACCTTTAGCCTGCTAACTTATACATTTTTAGTTTATTTTACTATTTACTTAAGTTTCAAATTATATTTATAATAATCTTAAAAAAAATATTATATACAACATTGTTTTAATTGCTTTTGTGCTTAGAATTTTTTCGTTACCAAATCCAATGTGATAGCTTAAATACTTTATTCAAGATGTCTAATTTTTACTTTTAAGCATTAAAAATTGATGAATTCTTTATCCATCACGATAAAGTAAAGTAAAATTGTTATTTGTCTATATTTTTAATCTTGCAATATGTGATATCCAAGCTATTATAAAAAGCTTATATTATATTAGCTATCAATAAATATTTTTATAGATACAAATTTTTTTTCTTAAATTAAACTCATAAATATATTTTATGTAAGATTGTCAATAGCTTACTAGTTTAACTATTTGTCTTTATTATTTTACTAAGAAATTACAATTTCTTCTATTATGAAAGCCATTCATTTGCAAACCATTCATTTCAGTCAAAATTAAATTGTGATGAAAACAATTAAGTTGTTTCATCAACAATTGTGTTGTACAGAAATGGGTGAAAACCTATTTCTATCATCAGTCCATTGTGCATTCATAATTGAATATGATTAATAACTAAATATTCTTTCGATAAAGGTGTTTAGAGCCGGTAGCAAAGTAGAACAAGCATATTTTTAAAAGTTTTGAAGACGTACGATAGCTTCAACAGTACAATTACAATAGTTGATACAGATCATAGACATTAAATACTATATTTTATTAATATGTCTATAATACAGACAAATGACAATAACAGCTTTCAATAATCGTGCAAAGAATTTCAGAATTGTCCAGAGTGTTTGAATGGTGGTTCTGAATATCTGGTTGACCATTGGTACCCATTTATGGTGGGTTTCCACTTTCCACTACAATACGTTCACGTGTAAGTGCATTTTTTGATTAGATCTGTTCGCTATGAACAATCTCCAAAACGTTTCCCATCGGGGTTTACATGGCCATATGGGTCAGATGGATTGGTAACATATTAGTTACCTTATTATTTTGTGATTATATTATTATTCAATATAGAGGTGTGTACATGAAGATGAAATAGTTGAACCCCAGAATTCCACCAACTTCATGGTATCATGATTAATAGTGTGGTAAGAATGTATAAACACTGGTACGCTTACCATGTGTACCAACCAATCACAGAAAAGTATTTTTATGCACGACACGTGAACGTATGTGGAAGTAACCATTTTCAAAACTACTGACCACAGATTTTCAGAATTGTCCCAAAATGTTCTGGACCACTGCAAGATTTTCACAAACAGAACCAACATCGAGACTTGAGAAGAGTACCAATGTTCACACTTAGTGCAGTAGTGGATGTGTGTAATATTGATGTTGTAAATTGTTTTGTACTATTAATGCCCCCCCTCCAAAAAAAAAAAAAATTAAATAGGATCCGTCACTGAACGTTAAAAGTTCGGGACGTTTTGGAAGATACTCGAAATATAGATTTAATTAGCTAATAATTATAAGAAAAATATATGATTTCAAAAAAAAAATCAATAGGTTGTTAAACTTGAATGGTTGGTTCCGAATGCTGCATCCAAAAGTTTAAGATATCTAATAGCATTTAATTTTCGTTGATTTAACGTAAACAATAGTACAGTACCACTATAAAAGTATACCATAGACTAATATATATTCTGATACTCATGTAGTCTATATAGACTTAATAGACTCATATCACAATTTAAGATAGACCCTAATCATAGACAAAGAATCCAGTTGGGATGATGAGCCTACAAATGATAGTTTCGGACTACCGGTGGCAAGTATTACAGGTGCGGAGCCAATATTGTTATATGCCACAAATTTCTAAATAGTATAGTGTATTAGTGTAGTATAGAAGTGTTTCATGCATTTATTCGATATTAACGTAGGTGATAAGATAACATTCAAATAATTACCACTTGAATTTAAATATTATAATTATTATTATTAATACAAGTCAACAATGAAACTGAGGATTGAAATTTTTATAACTGAAATCTAAATTATTCGGCACTTGTAATACAAAAAAAATAAATGTAAGAATTATAATTCTAACACGTCCTACAAAAACAATAATAATTACTAAACTTATCGATTGTGAATAAGTAATATTTAACAAGGTATGTTAAATTTAAAAATAACATAATTAGTTATAATAAAATATTGTTTATTACTGTTTTTTACCGTACATGACCGGAACATAAAGTACATAATAATTAATAATTCAAATTTATAAATAATGCTATTACTGAAAAGTTCTGAAATTAAGAAAGTATAGTTTTCTTTATTTGCCTTGTTTTTTGACACCTGTTTTGGCACAAAAATAAGGTGGGAAAGGGAATGTCGCTAAGTTTACAAGTAGGTCACTGTAATATGGATGGTGTTACATTTGAATTCAATGATATAATATCATTGTATAAGAAAAACGATTCTGAGCAAAAACGGTCAGCCTATGTTATTACTAAGTATATTTGATGATATTATTGTGAAAAAAGTAATTTTTATATTACCTATTTACGTGGAACCTGGTTTTGAATTAGCTATAAAAGCTGAACGTTTTATAAATTTTTTAATTTTAAATTTGATATATTTTGTCAAAATGCCAACCTTAAATGCTTATTAAAAAAAATTGTGACTATTTATTTTTAATATTTTTTTTAACTGCTATTGTAACAGTATATCAATTATCAGGAGCCTTGTATTAAATTTTCACGAATTGTTATCCAACAAATAAAATTTTGTAGACAATTATAGAAAAAAAAACTAAAAATATTGAAAACAACCATGTCCATAAACAGCACAAAAAGAGTCAAAATGTTTTGAAAATTTTATAAAGTATAAGAATTCATTACAGGATCATTCAGTGAAATTTTCATGTATCAACAGTTATTCGCTTTTGAATTACAACAAAATAGGTAACAAAATCGCTACATGAGAAATCGAGTGAATATCACTCAATATCCAATCTTGTAAAAATATGAACTTCAAACGATCATAAAAATTGAATTTGGTTTGCTTGTAGGCATTTTTTTTTTTTGATAAAGGTAGAAAAACTTATGAGGAATCTTGTATTACATTTTCAAATCTTAGATTTAAAAAGATAAATTTGTCTGAATTCTCAAAATAATTTGCTGGTTTTCGTGATTTTTCCGTATTTTGTCAAGATTTGAAATTTAAATACTTATAAATAAACAAATTATCTCGACAAATATAACAGGTGCTCACTTAAAATGAACTAGTACCTACCCCCACCAGTATTTCGGGTAACCTAAAAAAATTACTCATTTCACAAAAAACTGTTTAACCTACTAACATTTAAAGTTTATTTTAAAGACCCAATAGTTACAGCCCACCCACCCCAATTATGAAAGGGGTGCTTGATCACCTTTTCAGATACGTGATAGCCGCCACTTTGTTACAAATCAAAATATTTCATCGTGTATAGAAAATGCAAATATAAACGAGCAGTGAAAATTGTATGTATATACATTAAATTGTTTTAGAATTACACCAAAAACCAAAATCGATTTTGTGGAAAACCGATTTTGCGTAAAAATTCCCGTTTTTCCTTAATTTATTTATTTTTTGATCTTTTAAAGCCCGGCGACTATGGCCATTAGCTGATAGTGGTTTTATTATTGTAGGTAGTAGGGTTTGTAGTGGTAGGGTTTTTACACGTGTGTGTTGTGTTTGGCAGAATTTCGAATGGGGCACCCGTAGGTTTCTGTCATGCCCCGGAGTGGGGGATGGCGGCACTTGTTTTCTGGACACCGTGACTTGCCCGGAGAAAAATTTCGCCCGGTGGTCGAGAATCGAAACCGCGACCGGCAGCCGACGCGGTAGACCGCTCGGCCACCTCGTCACCCATCCTTAATTTTTATGTGGTTTTTCCCGGCGCTTTTGAAAACTATTGTGAATTTGAAATTTTACCTCCCCAATGCACCAACAATATTCAGTTTCCCATCGAACAACATACTGAAGTTGAAAATCGAAGCATTATTTCGACTACTTATCGTGTACACAGACACAAAAAAAAATATAAAAACACACATCATTGTAAAATCAATACATCAATACTTGTCTATGATTTCTACTGCTTATCGTGTACACGACACAAAAAAAAACCAGGGCTTCAAAACGTTTTTCTAACGTTATGAGTATAACCATAGAACAATAAGCAGTAATAAATGCATGAAAAAACAGTGGCTCCGCCACCGTAATACGGTATTCGTATTACTATTACCAATGGAATGTCGCTTCTATTTTGTCTTATGATAATATAAATAATGTCATAATAATCATAGAGTATTAGACACATAGAAACACCACAGAATAATTATTATAACACTAGATAGTCGACATATAATTTATACACCGATATAATTTGTTATTAAAGCCACAGAATAGATGGAATTTCATCTATTCTGTGATGGTAGTCCGTTGTTCTATATATCTATGGACAATACACATCTCAAATTCTCAAATAATAAATATGGTGAAAAATAAAATAAAATCTTCGTGGGTGTTAGAAATTTAGAATAGATTAATGGTTATGATTCGACCATTTGATTAATATTTAATTTTTAACTATATAGTTTACCTTATGGTCTTTAGGTAATAATAAATGGGCGTACCGGCGTTATCATTATTAGGATTATAACAATTGTGCGACTGGTGGCAGTTCTCGTTCGAGGACGTTGTGAACGGTGAATGGTGATAACAGCGCGTATGTCGGAGACTCTGAGTGTCGGACTACTCGTGTCTCGTGAGCGTGACGCGCGGAGACCGGAGAGATCGCCGTTCTTAAACGCCGTATCCCGTTTTTTAGTTTCCTACCTATTTCCTTCCGTTCACCCGCGGTATCTCGGTCTTTACTGCGGCCAGTAGCCACGACCCACCAAAATCGGTAACGAATCACAATTCACAGTGACGAGCGATTCGATCGTACGATTTTATTACTATTTTCCAAGAGGAGTGTTAGAACCCTGTTCTCCAACGTCGTGGACAGCTCAACCAGCGGCTGTCGATCCGGTCACCATTGGATACTGTGTGGTTGATATAGAAATAAAGGGTAAAACGCATCGACCATTTTTTTGAAAATCGGTAAGTTTATTTAGCCAACCTAATAAATTACCTACCTATAACTTATCGTATCCAACAAGTAGCGACCGTGTGAGTTTTAGTTTACTAATTTTATTTTTATCATCAGTTTGTCATGGCCCGGGGACAACAGAAAGCGCAGTCGCAGGCAAAGGCCGCAGAAAAACAAGCCAAGATGAAGAAGCAACAGGGTCATAGCGCTAATGAACAAAAGAAGGCTGCTCAAAAGGCGTTAATTCACGTGTGCACTGTTTGTAAAGTAAGCTTTTTTCACCTTATCATTTGTACATATAATAAAAAGTAGCTAAGTAAGTATGCATTGTTATTAGTAGGTATACAATTTGTAAACAAGGAATAAATCTATATTTCTGTATGCATCTCAGCTATTTGATTATTCAATTAAATACCTAATAGTGAAATTAATTTATTAATTAAACTAAGTAATCAGTGTAGATGTATTATTTTTATTTGTTGACTTATTTTAATATAACTTAATATTGATCTTAATCTAACCATAGTAATCAGTTTTTTAGTTTTTTTATTGTTAAACGTTCTATGGTGTTCAAATACTAAACTGTCTTGTATACCTATTTTTTTTTTTTATTATGTTACTTATCAGTTTCAATATATATATTACATATAAGTTATAACAACTAAAATTAGACATTCAGTACACACATATAATATTCATATTATTATATACATGTTGCATTCTGAACAAAATTTGGTCCCTGGGGGAGATATTACCCCCCATAGATAGAGCATTAATAATATTTTCTTTTTAGTTTGGTACTAAGTAATACATTTATATTTTAATGTAATATTTAAAACAACAAAACTGTATTAGAAATGCTGTACTTAAATTGAATATGTTTTGTGTGTGTAAGATTGACAATCAACAGGCACATACACAAAAAAAAAAAATTCGGTGGAGTGGTGGTTTATAGTAAATTTTGGAGAGGTGTGTTCATAATCTATACAGGGTGTTGCACGATAAATGTGTCAAACTTCTAGAGGTGTTACAACACCTCAAATGGAACAAAAAAAAGTTCTTGTGACCATAATTGAATTATCAATAATAAGGGTGATATTATCCATATTTGTGTTTTTTTGTTAAACGCATGTTTGATTCATAATAATTAAATGTTCATATCTGCAAAACCGTAAGTACTACAATTAATTTGAAAACATTGATGAAAAGCTCATAAAATTGGGATTAGGAAAACATATCTTACAAATTCCCACATGATTTTTTAGGTAAAAAAAATAACACATTTTTTATAACTTTAAAATGTCAAAATTTTAAAAAATTTCAGTTTTATCCTACAACAATTTTTTTTTAAAGCTGGTGTGTGCAAATTTCAAAAAAACTTCAAAATGTTATAAGTGTTTCAACAGTGTACTCGATTTTTTCGTTAAACCTTTCTGAAGTGCCGCTATTCCACCTAATGTGTGAAAAAACCGGGAAAAATGTAAGCAAATTCTAAGCAATAAATACAAAACCTGGTAAACTGATATTTTAACATTTTAAAGTTATAAAAAATGTGTGTTATTGCTTTCACCCAAAAAATCAGATGGGAACCTTGTAAGATATGTTTTCCTAATCCCAATTTTATGAGCTTTTCATCAATGTATTCAAGTTAATTGTAGTACCTACGGTTTGGCAGATGTGAATGTTATTATGAATGAAACCTGTGTTTAACATAAAAACACAAACATGGATAATATCACCCTTATTATTGATAATTCAATTATTTTCAAAAGGATTTTTTTTGTTCCATTTGAGGTGTTTCTAGAGTTTGACACATTTATCGTGCAACATCCTGTATATATAAATTACACAGCCATTAATTTTCAGGGTGGGGAGTGGTTGAATATAGATACATGCATTTTATACTATTAATTAATAATTATTATTAATATTATTACTTATTTAGTTTTTATATTTATTGCAATGAATAATATTAAATATATACTTAGTTTAATGTATTTTGTAATACCTTAATAATTATGAGTCAACATTTTAATTTTCAGGCACAGATGCCAGATCCTAAAACCTATAAACAACACTTCGAAAACAAACACCCTAAAAATGATATGCCTGAAGAACTGAAAGTTGTTTCATGAATCTATGGTGATCGATTAAATTGTATTTAATCACGTGTAAAAACAAATACCTAAACTAAGTAATATTAAAGTTTTTTAACTATTGATATAATTGTTTTATTTTATAGTGTCTAAATGATAGTATGTAACAGTTTTTTCTTTACCGTCAGGTAATTAAATCTATAGTACTTATTGTACTTAAGACTTACAGTGATCCTATACCTCTATTCCTTCTTTTTAAGTTTCAAACACCAAATTTCTATAAGAAATTACGTATTTTGACTTGTTTAGGTAACATTCTGAAAGTAGTATCACAGTAGTCTTTGTTGTCTACTGTGCCATTTTGTTAAGAGTGCAGATTAAGATGTTACTGACTATAATATCTAGTCTTATGAGAGTAAAAATGTGGACAACTCAGAGTTCAAAGAAAAATTAATTTGAGAATATTTCATGGGTTGGGGCCATTCTTATAATGTTTGGTTAAAGTTAACCGACTCTTAACCTGCCAAATTCTACCGGTAATAAAATCTGTTATCAGTTGGTTAGACACTTTACCAGGCATTGTGAGAACGGCCCTTAGGCTGTTAAAGATTATTTAGATAATTTTGAGAAAAAGTACATATTTATTTTAATTTTAACCGGAAAAAATATTTTTTAAAGATTTACCAACTCTCAATTTTTTTTTTTATAATTTTAATAAAAAAAAATAAGCAAAGATAGTATTGTTAAGTTGCCGTTAAGTAAGCGATTATAAAGTCTCCCCGGTATACTTGAGGCTAACCTGAAGGGTTTAATATACATTTAATATTCATTTTAAAAAAAGTGAGTTATTTAAATTATAGAAAAAATAATTTTAATTTAAATAAATTTCATAATAATTAATTACTAGGAAGAGTTTACTTATTTCCCTTAGGGTAAACATAATGTTTACCCGGGAGAGTTCACACTTTTCCTTCAGGTAAACATAATGTTGATCCGGGAGGCTTGCATGTTTCCTTCAAGTAAACAATTACAATAACAATACAAAAGACACTATTTTACCTGTTATTATAATGATATAATTCCATTATGCAAGTACAGTGAAACCTCTAAATACCGGACACTCCCAGTTACTAACATTTTGTCTGCATTTTGTAGTTTTCCCAAAAAAGTTTTGTTATTTAGAGGTATCTGTGAAGGGAGGTTTCACTAAATATGGGTACATCACTTAATTATTTAAGGAATATTGTAAAAAAAAGTTAATAGATTATTTTTGAATATTTTTCTAATTTTCAGGAGAATATAAGATTTTTTTAGAGAATACTAGCATAATTTTAAAATGGTATTTTAAATCCACACGGTATTATATTTTAAAGTGTTTAGTTATTGTGTAATTTGTTGGTTGAAAAAATGAAAAATATTCTAATTTAGTTCTTTTGGTGGATAACAACTGTCGTCAGATTATATATTTTTTATATTGATTTAAGTCATCTAACTACAGCATATTGAAAAATAGTCCTGAATCATACAATATAACTCACAGACGTATCACAATTACCTATTAATTATGAAATAAATATTACAAAACTAGTACGTCAAATAATAATGAGTTAATTATTAATTATTATTGCATTTATTTAGGACTTTCAGCAATTTTCTTAGAATTTTATTGATTTTTGAATGTTTTATAATTGCAATATCCAAACATAAGTAATAACCAATAATTAATAATAAAACTAAATTGATTGTTTCATAATATTTAATAAATTATAAATATTAAATTCTTGGAAATTTGTTGATGATGATTTACATAATATTATGATATAACAATACATAAAAGTAAGTAGGTAGGTACTTAAAAGTTTTTCATTTTTGAATTGCAACAAAATAAGAAAATTGCTACTTGAGAAATCAAGTGAGTATTCAATGTTGTAAACATATGAACTTCAAGCGCCCATAAATATTTAATTTGACTCTTGTAGTCATTTTTTTATTTGTAAGGTAGACAAACTTACGAGGAATCTTGTATTACATTTTCAAATCTTAGATTTAAAAATAAAATTTGTATGTATTTCTACCTCAAATAGTTAGCGCATTTTCGTGATTTTTAAGTATTTTGTCAAGACTTGAACTTTAAATGCTTATAAATAAAAATTGTGACAGTAGATTATTGTTTTTCAAATGTCATTGTAGCAATATATTAGGAGCATTGTATTAAATTTTTAAGCTTTTTTACACATCAAATAAAATTTTATTGTCATTCATAGAAAAAAATAGTAGGCAAGTGGGTGTCACTCTGCTGTACAGTAGGTTACAAGTGGGTCACTGTAATGGATGGTATTAAATTTTAATTCAATGATATAATAATATAATATCATTGGATAAGAAAAATGACTCTGAGCGAAGACGGTCAGTGAATAAAGTTTTTTATGTATAACCTATTTAAGTGGAACCTTGTTTTAAATTTTCATTCCTTAGCGATAAAAGTTGAACATTTTATAAATTTCTATTTTCAAAATAAATTTGAACTCCAAATGCTTATCAAAAAAAATTGTGATAAACATTCTGTCAAAATCTCATGTATCTGCGGTAATTTGTTTAAAGTTACACCATGAATCAAAATTGATTCTGTCGAAAATCTATTTTGAGTAAATATTCCCGGTTTTCCTTGATTTTACTTTTGACCCCACTAACGGTCCCATAGTACTAACTAGATTCACTTTCCTATCAGAAAACTGTTGAAGAAAATCAAAGCACATTTACTGTCCTAAAAGGTGATGACAGACACAAAAAATAAAATTAAAAAAATAACACAAAATCAATACATTCATCGCTCCGCTCAGAATCTAAAATAAATCCTGATCTCCATAAATCAGCTATAATGATATAGTTGTAGCTGAATTCTGAACACGCTGTATTGGTTTCAAGATTTATAATATTGCATCTAAGGTTATATCAATATTTTCGAACTGCTAAGTAGCCCGCAGACGTAGAGCCAATTGCATAAAATATATTATGTTGCCCATTGCCCTCAAGGGTCAATGACACCACCAAACAATGTGTTTAATTGGGTATGCATATATAAAAAGCTTTAAAAGATCCAAACAATTTTGAAAACTATAATGCCTAAAAAAATTCCAATAAAAATATGTATTGAACATTTTATATTTATATAAGTTGATAATAAGCAACGAGTATGATTGACTAACATTACTCTCTATAATTTATGTATTACTATAGACAGCATAGTTTTAATTGTTATATTATTTACTCAAATCATCACGTTTATGGTTTCGAAAAAAGAAATTATATCTTAAAACAAATATGAGGTTTTAATGTATATTTGTAGCTATTATATTATAGGTTCTCAAAAACTACTTAACCAATTTTGTGAAAATTTAAAATTTATCTTCGAGATATCGGGATAGTTTAAAGAGTTGTTTGAACCATGTTCGATTTGTGCCAAGTGCTATATCCAATCCACCATAAATTAATTGTCCAATTTTGTCGATTTAGTTCACAAGCGACTCAAATTTTTCTGTGAACTGAGGTACCTAAGTACATACACCAAAACCAAGATACACTTATAACTTATATAATCTACATTTTGTATATGGTATAATAATATGGTTTATACAACTAAAATTTGTTGTTGATTTATCTGAAGTCAATAGCCCCAAAAAACGACTGAACCGTTTTCAATAAAAGTTATATCAATAGATTACTTGAAATTCGGAGTATTTATAGCTGGATTTTTCAACTCCTATATAAGCTTGTTGAGGTCGTTACCTATCGTACGGGCATCGACATCTACGCGCTTTCTGCTCGGCCAGTCGCTGCCTCTTGGACCCGAGTAGGGAGCCAGTCGGACCGCAAGGTGGGGACGCAGGATACGATTGGTATGTCGCGGCCTGCGATCGGACGGAGGTTTTGTCTTAGAGTTCGTGTCATAGAGTACTGAACTCTTTTCCTCATATATCATATACATTGTGTAACATTGTTAATAAACTAGTAAATTAGTAATATATTAATTGTGTCGTTATTTGATATAATACACAAACCTCAGATTTGTACTACGATCACCCAAACTCTTCTCACAGTACCAAGCGGCATCACATAGGGCTACAGATAGTTAAAGGGTAGCTCGTACATGATATTTTTAAGCGTACGAAAAAAAAAAATTTTTATTTATCTAAATGGTTGGAATTGATCACATATTATATCAATATTATAGTTAGAACAAATATAGTATATAACTTTGAACAAATAAATTTATTAAAAATACAAATCTACCCTGGAAAATGTTGGGCAGGACAGCTAGTATATTTTAATATGTATTTTTAAAGGACTTAATTATAAGTTTCATGTCGAGTGTTACTGCTGGGTAACTACTTCCCTCACCCTTTCAAAGCCAATTTTATTGTAGTCCAGCTCATATGCTTATTGTAACTATTATTACAGATTTATATAATATTCAAATAAATGTTAAAAAATAAAAAAATAAATTAATTATAAGTAATTTTTGAGCAAGATTGTTTACAGACAGCACAGTTAACTATTTAATGGTCCTTATGGTTTGTATTTAAAGTTGATGTCTGAGAAAATTTTATTTTTCTTCAAATATATTATAAATATAATATATTATTTCTTCATTCACTTTATGGGTTTTCTCTTGTATGAATTCTTGTGTGAATTTTCAAGTTTCCTTTCTGTGAATATGATTTACTACAAATATGGCATTTATATGGTTTTTCTTTCATATGAATTATTAAGTGAGTTTTCAAGTTTCCTTTATAATAAAATGATTTACTACAAATATGGCATTTATGTGGTTTTTCTTCAGTATGAATTATTAAGTGAGTTTTCAGGGTTGCTTTATATGGAAATGATTTACTACAAACATGGCATTTAAATTGTTGTTTAACACTTAAAGTTGTTTCTTCAGACAATAATTTATTACAGATGACAGATTTGTATGGATTTTCATCAGTAAGAGTTTTCGTATGAAATTCTTTTAGTAAAATTGTTTCATTACAAGTTTT